TACCCCCTTTTCCGCTGCCCTTCCTCTTACCTGTTCTTTTATTTTCTTTGCATTGTCACACTCCCCTAGACTCACACTCTGCACCTGTGTCTCAGTTAATAAGATTACAGGTAACACGTGAGAAAAGTTTCTCTCAGGAAGTTAATGAAGAACTGTTGGTAAAACGACCGATTATACAAAAAAAAAAAAAAAAAAACGACAACAACAACTAAATTGCGAAAAACATTAGAAAGGCAAAAAGCAGTCTTATTGTTAGGAATTTGTCTGATTTAAAAAAAAAAGAAAGAAAAAAACAAGGATGCGTGTTTGTTCATGTCATCTTTCGTACAATCCTGAGAGAGTCTTCTACTTCTTCAGCATTCGCTATGACGTCAGCGTGCTTCGTGTGACGTCATAAGGCCGGAGGCTCATCAATATATGATGGCGCAGGCCCGGATTATAGCTTTTCCCACGAGAGGGACCTCTGAATTCGAACAGCCCCTTGTATTTTGTTTATGCCTGGCTGCTTTTCTTGGCTTTTGTTTATTTTTCTCTCTTTTTTTTTTTTCTCTCTCCTCTTCTCTCTCTCTCTCTCTCTCTTTCTCTCTCTCTCTCTCTTTCTGTCTCTGTCTCTTCTCTTTCTTCTTCTCTTCTCTCTCTTTCTCTTTCTTTTCTCTTTCTCTCTCTTCTCTCCTCTTCCTTCTCTCTCTCTCTCTCTGTCTGTCTTCTCTCTCTCATCTCTCCTCTCTCTCTCTCTCTCTGTCTCTCTCTCTCTCTCTCTCTCTCTCTCTCTCTCTCTCTCTCTCTCTCTCCTCTCTCTCTCTCTTCTCTCTCTCTCCTCCTCTCTCTCCTTCTCTCTTTCCCTCTCTCTCTCTCTCTCTCTCTCTCTCTTCTCTCTCTTCTCTCCTCTCCTCTCTCTCCCTCTTCTCTTTCTCTCCTCTCTCTCTCCTCTCCCTCTCCTTCTCTCTCTACTCTCTTTAGTCTTTTTTCTTAGTTTATCCTGTAAATTCGAATTTCCGCTTGTCTTTTTTTTAGATTTCTCCTTTCTTTTCTTGCTCTTATCTTCGCATCTTTCTTCTTTGACTTTTATTTCCATTTGTTTCTCTTTTTCATTTTCTCCCGAACATAGTCATTTTCTCTTATCACTTTCTCTCCACTCTTATCTATTTCTCTTTTCAATCCCTTTCTTCCCTTTCTTAGAATCCGACCAAACGTCACCTTATTTCCCTCGTTCTCTTCTCCATCTTTTCTTGTCATCCCAATTATCAATCTCTTCTTCCATCTTCTTCCACCGTCGCTGAAGGAGGTCTCAGCTGCTAGTCAAGACCCCTAGAGGATGCAGAGATATTTATATATTTTTGAATAAATATTTTTTAGCTTTTCTCACGGTCTTTAAACATCAATCTCTTCTTCCATCTATCACGCCCACGTCCTTGGTCTCCCGCCCCAACTGCTGCGCCCTTGTCGAGACCTATAATAAGACCAAACGATCATACATTTTCCTTTAATCTATTTTCATCGTTTTCGTCTTTTCTTGTCGTCCTAATTGTCCAAATCAACCGCCTCTGCTTGGTCTCTGCTGGAGCACGGTCGAACATTTCGTGTTTTTTTTTCTCTCTCTGTCTCTCTCTCTCATTCTATGTCTGTCTCTGTCTCTGTCTGTCTGTCTGTCTGTCTCTGTTTCTCCTCCCTCTCTCTCTCTCTTTCTTTCTTTCTTGTCTTCTCTCTCTCTTCTTCTCTCTCTCCTCTCTCTCTCTGTCCTCTCCTTCTCTCTCTCTCTCTCTCTCTCCTCTCCTCCCTTCCTCTCTCCCTCCTGTCTCCTCTCCTCTCTCTCTCTCTCTCTCCTCTCTCTCTCTCTCTCTCTCTCTCTCCTCTCTCTCTCTCTCTCTCTCTCTCTCCTCTCTTCTCTCTCCTCTCTCTCTCTCTCTCTCTCTCTCTCTCTCTCTCTCTCTCGTCTCTCTCTCTCTCTCTCGTCTCTCTCTCTCTCTCCCCCCTCTCCCTCCTCTCCTCCCTCTCCCTCCCTCTCCCCCTCCCTCCCCCTCCCTTCCCTCTCTCACTCTCCGCTCTTTCCCCTCCCTCCCCTCTCTTTCGCCTCTAACATTTTCCCCTCTCTCTCACCTACCTCTTCTTCTTCAACTTATCCCTAACCCCACCCCTATTTTCCTTCGTAAACCTAACCATCCGTCTCTCCTTCTTCCTCCACCTCAGGAGCGCGTCCTTAGAGGAGGTCCATGCCTTCGTCTCGTCCCTGAGCTGCTGCGCCTACGTCGAGACCTCCGCCAAGAAGGACCACAACGTCGATAAGCTCTTCTACGAGCTTTTCGTCCTCGCCAACCTACCCATGGAGATGTCGCCGGCACTGCATAAGCGCGTGTGTCCCGGACAGCCCTCGCAGGTTTTGGGTTCTGTGTGTGGGTGGTGTGTTGTGTGTGTGGGTGGGTGAGTGTGTGTGTGTGTGTGTTTGTAAGGGTGTGTTGTGTGTGTGGGTGTGTAAGGGGGGGGGGTTGTGTGTGTAAGGGGTATTGCGTGTGTGTGTGTGTGTAAGGAGGTGTGTGTGTGTTGTGTTACGGGGAGTTGTGTCTGTGTGTGGGGGGGGGGGGGTGAGGATGTATGTGTGTGTGTAAGGGGGTGTTGTGTGTGTGTGTGTATGGGGGGGGGGGTGAGGATGTATGTGTGTGTGTGTAAGGGGGTGTTTGTGTGTGTGTGTGTAAGGAGGTGTTGTGTGTGTGTGTGTAACGGGGAGTTGTGTGTGTGGTGTATGGGGGGGTGAGGTGTGTGTATGTGTATGTGTGTGTGTGTGTAAGGGGATGTGTGTGAGTGTGTAAGAGGTGTTGCGTGTGTTGTGTGTCCTGAGTGTGTGTATGTAAGAGGCTGTGTGGGGGAGGAGAGGGGGTGAGGTTGTATGTGTATGTGTGTGTGTGGAGGGAAGGAGCCTGGGGACACAAATATCTTCCCCCGTAAGTAGTAGTCCTTGGGGTTTTAGGCCTTATGCCTCTCCTGCCTCTTTTCCTTTTCTTCTTCTTTCCCTTTTATTCTCCTTTGCCATTTTTTCTTTATTTTCTTTGCTTCGTCTTATTTTTTTCTTCTTATTTATTTCTCTCCTCCTCCTTCCTCATCATCATCATCATCATCATCCATCATCACCACCACTATAATCATCCATATCATCACCACCACTACCTCCATCACCATCATCATCACCATCATCATTATCATCATCTTCATCACCACCACTACCTCCATCATCATCTTCAGCTTCATCATCACCATCACCACCACCTCTATCACCACCAACCTCATCACCATCCCAATCTCAACCCTCTCCCTCCTCCTCCTCATTTTCCTCATATTCCTCCTTCGCTGCAAGAACTTCCCATCAGTATGGTGTCCTTCGAGTAGAGATCGCGGAGAAAATATTTGATGGTGATACAGATTGCTTTTACCTGTGTTGGGAAGGTTGAGATTTGCTTGACGCTCTCTGTTTGGAATTTTGGGGTTTTTGTGTCTGTTTTTTGGTGTTCTGTGTGTGTGTGGGGGGGGGGGGGTGAGGTTGTGTGTGTGTGAGGGGGGGGGTGCATGGTGTGTGTGTGTGTGTATGTGTGTGTGTGTGTGAGGTTGAGGTGTTTGTCTGTGTGTGTGTGTGTGTGTGTGTGTGTGTGTGTGTGTGGTGTGTTGCGTGTGTGTGTGTGTGTGTGTGTGTGTGTGTGTGTGTGTTGTTGTGTGTGTGTGGTGTGTGTGCGTGTTCGTGTGCGTGTGCTTACGTGTCTGTGTGTGTGTGTGTCTGTGTGTGTGTGTTCGTGTGTGTGTGTGCGCGCGTGTGTATGTATGTATGTATGTATGCATATCTTGTTGTTTACAATACAAAAGGCGAAGGAGCGTTGCCCTGTTTACACGAACGAGACAAAACAAAATGCAAATTCGGCTTCAATATATGTAAATTTTTACATAAGCAGAGAAGTGTGTTTGTGTTTGGGGATTTGAATGCGTGTATTTCAGGTTGTTTACATTTGCGTGTTTGTAGTGTTTGAGTGTGTGTGTGTGTGTGTGTGGATTGGAACAAGCATGCATTAGGCACGTCCGCAGACACACATATGCACACACACGTAAGCATATATATATATATACATATATATATATATATATATATATATATATATATAATATATAATATATATGTGTATATATGGTATGTATGCTATGTTATGTGTATATGTATGTTGTATATATATATATATATGTATATATATATATATATGTATATATTATATGTATGTATACTAACGCCCTCAATGACAGTAACATTTCAATTTCTTCTGAAGCCTAACCTCCCCCCCCCTTCCCCCCGCAGCAGGAGTCGTCCCCCGGCTTCGGCAGCCGCCACCGGGGCCTGTCCATCCGGCGGCGGCTGAGCGAGGCCTACGGCATGGTGGCGCCCAACGTCCGCCGCCCTTCCATCCGCACCGACCTCCTCATCCTCCGAGCCAAGACGTCGCTTCACCTCACCGGCATCGACGCCTTCACGGACAAGAAGCCGCGGCGGGAGGTCTCCTGCGTCATCCAGTGAGCGAGAAGCCGACGCGCCGGTTCCTCCGCTCCCTCGGCCGCGCGCGCGCGTGTGTCTCTCCTGCCGGGGGATGCTCGCGAGGGGGAAGAAGTGGTCCTCTTGGGTAATTTAAAAGAACCTAGGATTTAATTTCGCTATGATTGGAGATCCTGTTACGACGACCTCGCTGGTGTCTCGTGTCGCTGGCCGGTGCTCCCCCCCCCTTCCCTGATCCCACGTCCTCGGCCCCGGAGGTCAGATGTGGCACAGTCCCCCGAGAAATTGAAACGTGTCCCGCACATGTTGCTATCACCTGAGAGATGTATATTTCGATGTCATTGTTTCACTACATTTTATCTACGATGATCCACATTCCCATTTATTATACTGTGTGTTATATACTTATATAGTACATATATATTTATGTATGGCATACTTGTCTCGGAGAAATCTCGTACTCTCGTGTATTGGAAAAAAA